TTTAAAAATTCTAAAAAAATTTATTGTTACATTTATTGTTTATCTATTTATCATTTTTGTTTCATCATTTTTTAAAAAGATTTTTAAAAAATATTTTCGATAATAAAATACAAGATCTTTACAAATGATATCTCTCTGAATGAAAATATAATGAATCTATGAAAATAGATCTCTTTTTTTTTTAAATTAAATTATACATATTTTTTTAAATATCGATGCAAGTCATTTATGGAAGGAAAAAGCTATCAATTTAAAATATATTTTAATTTTAATTATATAAAATTTTTATAAAATAAATCTATATATCCTAAATAAAAAATAAAAAAAATCATTTCAAAGCATCAAAATTTAACTAAATATAAAATTTTACATCTTACATCATCTTTTGACATAAATTTTATCAGCCATCTACCGTGTCCAACTAATTCCATCAAGATCCATGACACAAATTGCATACCGCGTGCAACATCTTGTTACTTCACAATTTTCTTAAATCACATCGCGAGGAGAAACTCGTTACAATTTATCCGTGAATTTCACGCAAACTCTCAAGCACATCGAAGGTTGGTCCAATTTTCATAATCATTCGAATCGAAAAAGCGAGCCAAGGTACATTAAAAATCTTCCGAATCGTAAAGAAAGCTATAGTCATACACACACACACACACACAGTAATTCCCTGGCACGTTTCCTGACGCTCGATCCACGTTCGTTTAATTCCACGGGTCTCGTATTTTCATTTGCAGTGCATAAAGTCGTCGCCTGGCCCAGGGCTAGACTTCGAACGAACGGTGTTAATTTAATTATTCATCTGCCAGTTCATTAAAATCGAAAGGGAAGAGGAAAAAGAAAGATAAGAAAAATTGGCTTTTTAAATATTGAATGATTTAAATTTCATGCAATATTAAAAATTTCTTTAAATCTTTCTTTTGGAATATAGAGCGTAAAAATGATTGGATTCAATCCATACTAATATATTTCTATTCTAATTAGAATATTTCTAATGAGAAATCAAGTGAAATGATTAGGAATCATATATATATATATCTTTGAGCACAGAAGTATCAGAAGTGATCCAACTTTTGTTACTAATTAGTTTTTCTAATTATCGAATGTTAAATCAATTATTGAGTCGAAATATAATCGTAAACTAATCATTGAATTGTAAATTAATTTTTTTTTTCGGATAAAAAAATTGAAAATTCGCGATATATGAGAATTTAAAGCGAGAAGAAAGAGAAAAAATAAAGTAAAATAAGAGAAGATCGATGGAACGCCACGCACCAGTTTTTATAGCGGGCACAGAAACAGCTGGACCGTACAGGCGAAAGCCCATTCCATCTCGAAATCGAAATCCTTCTATGATTTTTTTGTTTTTTTTTTGTTTTTTAACAGTGAAGTTTCATGAATTACTTGTATTAATTTTGAAGAATTCTCTTGAATTTTGAATAAATATTTTTAATTATATTCAAAAGTAATGGAGAATGTATCCTGTCTTGGAATATTGAAAGATCGATATTTCTATTCATTTCTCAAAAAAAGTGAAATGTTAGAAATGATACATAATAATTTTTTATTACATAATTAAAATGCTAAAAATGTTTGAAATTAAAAAGAGAATGAATAATTCAGAATAAATGTCTTAATTAATTAAATTCTATTAAATTTCGATCACTGAATATTCTAACCTCCAAAATTTCTTAAAAATTCATTTCTCAAAAAAAGTGAAATATTAGAAATGATACATAACAATTTTTTATTACATAATTAAAATGTTAAAAAAATTTGAAGTTAAAAAAGAGAATTAATAATTTAGAATAAATGTCTTAATGTCTATTAATTAAATTTCGATCACTGAATATTCTAATCTCCAAAATTTCCAATGACTGATATTGAATTTAATTTTCAGATTTAATATTATTAATTTAGTATGAATAAATGAATAATTCCTTTTTCTTTTACCATAAAAAGAGAAACAGATATCAATAATGCATTACGATATCTTTCTGAAACATGTTACTATAGATTCTGTTAGAATCATTCTAAATCGGCCGAATAAACGCATTTGGAGAACAATGATTATTCGATCGCCATTATACTGACATAACTGCGAATTAATTCAGTTCAAGCAACAGGCTCGTGCCAGCAATGCCATGAGAAAGTTAAGTGACCTGTATCAAGTACTTACCTTCGCTCTCCACAAAATATTTCGAAAAATTGATCCAAATATTTTTTTATTTATACTGCAATCAGTTTCATACATCACTTATAATATCAAATCACGTTCCATGACATAAATGATATAATTCAAAGTTATAATTTAAAATTTTAATTCTAAAGTTAAATAAAAATGAAAATAATATCTAATATTTTAATATTTTATTATTATTAATATTATATCCTTTACATTAATTGAATTCTAATCTAATTTTTAAATAATAAATAATAATCACAGGATTTTAATTATGGATCAAGAAATGAAATAAATAAATTGTAATTTAGATTTAAAAATTTAATTTCCAGGTTTTTATTTCTTCTTATTCGAAAAGTGATATTGAAGAATAACAAGGCACTCAATGTGAAGAGAACTAAATATACGTAAATATAAAACGTTTTATTCAATATGTAAAGTTTTTCGATTATTTAAAATCGAGTCGACAATGATCGTGTAAACTAGCAGATCCCCTTTAGGATTATTCACAGAGAGTAAATAATGATTAAAGAGAATGAAAGAAGAGCTTGCTTTCGTTGGTTCGAACTGGTCAAGAGACGCAATTGGTCCAAAAGGAACAGACGGCACTCATGGGACAAGAAAGTGTCTCTTTTACGACGACAGCTGCCAGGCACTCACGATTTCTCGAAGCAGACATACATATCGCTTGTATTTAAGCTTCGATTCTAGTAGCCGTTTGGCAACTTCGAGGGTCCTTTGGGAAGCTAAGCTCTTTCGTGAGAATTGTTCAATGAAATTTGAACAGGTATTTGTTCATTATAGATATGAATTAATTCTTAAAAAAATTTTCACGCAACTTCGGTGTAATGAAATTCATTCAACAATTAAACCAGCTCCACTTCCTTGCTTTTAACACGTTCTACTGAACTTAGAATACTTATGCTAATGATCTTAAAAGAATTTTTCTTATTACTTGAGACTGATCAGTTTCGTTATATAAATTCATATCTAATTTTTATATTATTAATCAATAAATCAATCAAACATGATATTATGTCATGATTTATTAATAAAATCAACATGTATCTCGCAATCATTTAATAAATATTTACATGTATTTTACATAAGCATACGATGAAGTAATAAATCGATAATAAAGAAACATAAAATTATCGAAGAATGAACATAATTGATAATTCATTAATATCATACATAAGTCAAAGAACTATCCGTTTATGCCGATTTATTTTTCACTATGATTCTACTTGGAAGGGAAGTATAAATAGTCACGATATGTCAGATACCGAGAAAAGACATGGAAAAGAAAAATAAAAAAAAATCAAAAGCATAATAGAGTTTACATGACACTCATCGCTTACTCTGGGGCGAATGAGACTCAGGGACGTTTTTTTAAGGGGGTCAAGGGGACCCTGCGCCCCGGGGCTATTCTTATTAACGCTGACTTTTTTTTCTTTCTCTAACTTGAATTCAAATTTTCCAAATTTTTCACAAAAAAAGAGACTTTTTACGAACAGAGCTTTCAGAAAAGTTATTATTATTCCATTTTATTTCCTTCACGTGTTTTCTTCTCTAATTTGATGTAATTGTTGATGTAATGTTATATGTGTATATCTTTGAATCGATCATGGAGCAGAAATCCGTTCTTACGATGACCGACGCTTTGAGAAAGTTATTCAAAGCGTGACATTAATTTATGGACACAGCAGCATACGTATCAGTCGGCGAGATCCATGCAACCTTAAACTTGCATCCATGCGTATGATTGCATAAAATTGTTGGTTTCGCTCAAGTTATGAGCGTGGGTAATATTTCCTACTATTAAAGAATCGATTTCGATGCAGAGTTTCAATGGATCGATCGTAAAATTTCGCTTATTGATTAATAGTGTTGATACAATGTTAGATACAGTGATTGAATTACATTAGAAATACGATTTATGCCAAAAATGTGTTATACATTTTGAAATATTGTGAATATATAAAGTTTCGTCTTACAAAAAAATTTTTTTTTTCCTAATTATAAGATGATCCTTATGTTATATTAGTTTACGAATACCGTATTCTCTTCACAATGTCACGACCGTCGTGCGTGATTCCGGTACGACGTCACGGTCCCATTGACGCCGACCACAACCACCTTAAACACCCATAAAACATTTTCGTGACCTCTTTTTCATGTAATTCAACGAACAGAGGCTTGTTCTCCATTTCCGGTGACATGAAAGCACCGATACACTCGGCACGCTCAAAAAAACCTTTCACACGTTCCGGCGATATATTGTGTATACCACTGAATTCGTAAACGATATCCCCGGTTTCATTACTGATTTGAATGCTCTGGATATACATAGTATCGAGAGCGGCATCAATAATTCCATTTTATAATTATCTTGAGATTCTACTAAAAAGGTGTAAATATTAGATAAATTATATCATGCACATTTATAGTCGTAGCATATACATGCATCTGCATGTATCATCAGAGAATGAAAAGATTGGAAGCATCAGCAAAAATATTCTTGTAAAGAATGTCACTTAGAAAAAACATATGTGTATTAACCAGAAACCTTTCGAGAGTATATTACGTATGATAACATAGTTCGTATAATTTCGCAGCAGCATGCCAGAAAACGTGCATTCCCGAAGAGGAGTTTCCTGTAGGAGGGAGCCTTGGGTACCCGGCGGTGAACCATCATCGTTCTAGCACGACACGAGGTCGCGGAAAAGCACGAGCATCGTCGAAGCGTGCACGAATACGACCGAACCGTAACGAAAGCGTACGAGGCCACAGATACAGGGGTGGGGACTCGCAGACTCTCAGTAGTCGAATTCAGTCGAGCCAGCGCCGTGATCGGAGTTGGAATAGTGACTGGCGAACAGTGTTCGGAGCAGGCGTATCCGCTCTCGGTGTTCTAGTCGCTCCTTAATCACGCGCACACGAATTAATTTGATCGGCTGGCAGACCCGAGATCGAATATTCGCTTCGTTTTTTATTCGTTTCTTGTTTAATCGTGAGCTTCGTACGCTTCTATCGTTCTCCGTCGTGCATGTTCATCAATTTATATAGTTTGTCGCTATTCGTTTAACCGTCCCCGCTGTGATTGACTGTCGCGAAGGCCTTTTTTTCCGGAGCCGCTACAGACACGGCAGTGAAAATGCGGTAGTGACAGTGGTATATCAGAGACAGGGAGAAAAAGAGAATCCCTGAGTACGTTTGTAGGCGCGAGGACGCCACGAGTTTACTCGATAAAAATCGAAGTGAACGAAATTAGGGGAGAGGCTCCTTGAAGCCAGGGCCAGAAGTTATGTCGAGTTCGTGTGTTCGAGGACGAGGAATTTACGCGCATGTGTCCAGTGGGATTTAGTGTCGGCGATAAAGCATTCTTTCCAGATCTGGATACCTTGCTCGCAACACCTACGGGACCTGGATTATCTCATGTCAGGATGGCGCTGGCGCGGTACGTATTTTCCACTGAATCGTCGAACCTCCTCGTCATTGCGTTTAGGGTGGGTCTTTGCTCAAACGTGTTTGTTTTTCCTCTTTCGTTCTCGATGTTATTAAGTGTCTTTATTGATCCAATACTACGTCCTATATAGCAACATATATTGACCTTAAAACGATATTTCACTTCTATTATAATGATAATATTTTACATAATCATATTCTGAAAAGGATTTAATGACACACTTCGTAAAAGAAAGTGTTCTTCTTTTATGAAATACCGGTGTCCCTTTGTTTTGAAGTATTCTGCCACAGATGCCGGTATCAGCCATAGAGTGCGCACTGGTCAACGACCCATCCCTGCCATAACTATAGTCAACTGATTTAACAGATTTATACATTCTCGGTGTATTTACATAGCTGTCGTGTGTTCTTTCGACATGATGCGTATGATGCCGGGACTCGTTATTAGTTTGAAAGTTCTTGGTCAAGTTGCTTGCATGGCGAAGGAAAGACGTCAAGGTTAGTACACCTTTTTACGTTAAGTCGACCTTCCGAGTACGATGCGGGCTCCGTCACGGTTCGACAATCTGCCTTTATACTGAAACATTTGACCGTGAATATGAGTCGATGGAATTCAAACGTAGAAACATTAACAGCGACCTTATCCTCCGGTCGCTCTCTCTCTTTCTCTCTCTTTGTGGCTGAAAATTCTTCGATCGACAAACGGTGTCACTACACGCGCGTCTACATGTGCCTACATAACATAATACTCGCGCGCGCATATAGGTTAGAATAACTGTCTTTTCATGTCAAAGTTTGATTCTAAAAACAGCTATCCATCGTGAATAATTTTACTATATAAAATGTTTACGTGTATTGCGAATATTATTTTTCGACACGATAATCGAAAATATGTTATCATTTTATATATATATATTACTTTCTCTGTCAAATCTTTTTATCAATATTATAAAAGATATAGCATGACAGTAAACAGCCTTCACCGCATATACTTATATTCGTATACGATTGAATCGTGACAGAACTGGCAATGAAGCTTTCTACCAACTCGTCGACGTGTTCATATGCCATCGCGAACATAACATTGCCTTGTGTTCTAAACTGTGGACGGTTAGAATTTATTTCTTTGTAGTCGAGCGATCCTTTATCTCGCGGACGCAGTATTGAAGGCCTCTATTGTGATATTTCGTTCAACTTAATCGAATGAGTAGGGGAAATAATGTTGGAGCGTACGAAACATCTAGTAATTGAATATAGCGAATTAAACAATGGTTGGGAATCGTATGGGTGGGCAAATGGGCGTACGATCAGTAGTTTCGCCGATAGACCTTCTCTTGATGGAGACTATTACTCATTACACTTCCTGCCCAGCAAAACGCTATCGGCCAAAGTGATGAATCACGAAGCTATAAACAGATCTTCGACTTCATAATTACAATTTAATGAATGCGGCCACAATGATCGTGTGGGACCTTACCTGCTATTAATCTTGACATTGCGTGAACTTTTGCGCGAATTTCCATTTGCAACGAATCATTCTAATAAGATATTTGATATTTTTTTGGATCTTTAAATTATTATTAAATTTTTTTTAGATTGGAAATTTTGCATTTCACGTTGATTGGAATATTATGAACTGTTTAAATATTAAATAGATAAGATTTTTTTTCAATTTAAGTCGATATGATATATTTCAAGAAATTGTATTTTTAAGATATTCTTTTCTCTTCTTTTTCTTTTTTTTTAAGATAAATTAATATTTATTGATAAATATTTGAAACATTAGTATATTTTTAAGAATTTTTCTTCATTCTTGATGTTAAATTTTCAAAAGATTTGAAATGTTCTTTTGCATATTTGTTTAAAATCGATAAATATTCAAAAAATATTTTAATCATATTTTTTCTTTATTGTTGATCAATAAAAAATTTATGATGCTTATTTATTCAAGTGATTTTTTTTTATTTCTGATATTTTTTCAGAAATCTTTTTTCATTGTTATCTTATGGTTCGGTTATTTTTATATCGTTATCATAATTTACATACATACAATACAAATTTTTTCATAGAATTTGAAATAAATTTTCAATTATAAATTTTCAATTTTGCTTTAATAGTTAGATTTTAAATTTAAATTTAAGGATATCTAGATATTTGTTTGAGTTTTAAATTTTTCATCATGAAAAAACAGTGAATTTTTTGTTAATGAATTTTAAATTTAAAATTAAATATTTAGATTTCAAATTTCGATTTTTGATTTTCTATTCAACAAAATCGAAATTTAATTTCGAAGAATCTAATTGTTTCTCAGAAAGAATTCATTAAACTCGCGTAGAAATATTACACATTATTTTCCTTATATCTAGTAATAATAATATCTAATGATAATATTGAATAGTATGCAAATTTCTCGTTTTCAAAATTATGGAAATCGTAATTAACCCATCTCAGTTTCATTTCCGAGTAAACTAATTTCGTATAACGCAGTTCAACTGATTAACCAATCATGTATTAGCATAGATTAATTAGAGAGACGAGCGTTGTTCCGCGGAGGACACTTGTTTCGCGCTGCGCGAAAGGCAATTTTGAATCATTAACATAACTCAAAGCGAATCGAACTGTCGTTCCACGATCAATCAGTGTCGGTGAAAATTACGTTAAACGCTTTACGATGAGAATTGATCGATCGCACAGTGGCAATTCCTTGCCTAGAACAGATGTCTATCGAAACAATTCTCTTTCTACGTTAATCCATGAGAAAAGTTTATCGAACCATGGAAAACATGGTGAAATTGTTATTAAGTTGGAAAAATTGGAAAGTTTTAGATTATTTTTAGAATTTTATCTTAGAATCTTCTTTCGAAAAATTTTTTTATATGAAAATAAAAAAATATATATAATATATAATATAATATATATATATAAATATAATATATTATATATAATATATAAATATAAAATAAATTTCTTGTTTTTAAACATGACATAATTTATATTTAACATAAATGAATGATATTTGAAATATCTAATATTCAATATTATAAAAATCTATCGATATGAATATTATAATTATATTTCTAAAAAAGATAGGTATAAAAAAATATAAAAAAAATAAATTTATTTAATTATAAAAGATTTTTTTAATTATATTTTTTTAATGAAATGTTTCTTCGACTTTGTATTCATGTGAACAATATGATTTAGTATATAATTCGAAAAAAAACTTCATCTATACTGTTTGAAAATTCTTGAAAAGTAAGCAAAATATCAAACTATATTAAAACGAAAACACGAAAACAACTTTTTGTTTTTCTGTTTCTCATGTTCGTGATAATTCAGATTTTAATTATATTCAAGAATATATTTTATTCGTATTCAAATTAAGATCAAAATACTATTTACAAGTTTTTGTAAATTCATATTCCATTTTTAAAAATATATCATAATATAATTTCTAATATATTTTTTTAAATTTTTAATTATGTAATCTATTACATTAATTATGTAATCCATTAAAACATATAATATAATATAAAGAAATATATTATATATATAATAAATAAATATGAGAAAATAATTCTATACTAAAAGTTTCTGGAAACTTTATCAAGTGAGTTTCATTCTACAACTTACAAAGTAGAATGTTATCTTCATTAAGAAGTAGATACTGAAAGAAGTAGATACTGAAAGAAGTAGATAGAATATGACGTTATATATATGTTTTGAGATTATATATCAAAATTCTATTAAAATTAAGAAATTCTAAGTATATTAAATCTCGTTTCGAAAACTTGATTTTATAATTCTCTTTATTCTATTCTTATCTTAATCCATATATTAATTTATAAATTATTAATATACAATTTAATATACTCATAATTGCACAAAATAAAAAATTTTTTTTATATGAATAAAAATGTTTTTAGATTATGTTTTTAGAAATGTTTTTATAATATTTAATTAAATTTTATCTTTTATTTAATAATTTTAATTTTACAGAATCATTTGGACTTTATTTTTCATTATCATTGTCTGCATAATGAGCCAATGTCAAATAACATTGTTAAATTCGTGGAAACAGACTTCTCCAGATATATAGTCGGAACTCTTCGGGATTATTCGGAACTATTCGTGGCTATATATCCAGATATTACTGAATTTTTAACCAAATTATAAATTTTTAATCGAAATATAATCTCAATTGTGTGATTTACTTTATATATTAAAAGCTGTATCTTTTAAATATTTGAAGCCGAGATTTTATATTTCGAATCTAAATTCTCTCTCCATAGATAAATTAATTTAAATTTCATCTCAATTGCTCATCATACTGTTTGAAATAATTTTCACATTTACAGTTATTACAAATCGATTAATGTCTTATAAATGTATACGTATACGTATAAGCATAAGAAGCAAGTGTATTTTAGATGTCGACAGACAACGATAATGGAACAGCTGTGTATACTGCGAGGGGACAAAGAACACGGACACATTCAAAGCGATTTCTGCTCGTTCGTTGTGTTAGTGACGAGAAAATATTGTGACGCAAACGCGATAACGTCGTAGCGCAAGGTCGAAGAGCTTTTCCGATTCATCTAACGCTACAATCAACGAACACGTTATGCTAAAAAGTTTTATACCTGCGACAAGGCATGGCATCGTGAATGCCTCGGCTTTATCGCCGTGTCATTTCAACGTGTTTCGAACGAAAACATGTTGTGAAAAAATTAAACAGGTGATTGTCTTGTCACGTAGGCTTTCATACTGACAACTCGGATCACTAATATTAGATTTTTGCATGTGAAATAACTTGTTTAACAAATTTTAAATTGAAAATTAATTCTTGTGAAAATTAATTTGTAGAATTTAATGGATAAACCTTCCATTAAATGAAAAATTCGAAATATATCTGTAGTACTAGATAATTTGATAGCAGTTAATGCAGATCGTGGATAATAGTGAAACTTCCTTCGAACTAACAGTAATAAGAAATAGTGGGAATAGTTGATAACTATATAAACGGACAAATTCGTAGCCATATTGTACCTTTATAATATGTTGATATAATCAATGTTGAGTTATCGCATTAAACATCATTTCATGTACTACTAAAATTTTTATTTTTTAAAACATATTAATATCATAAAAATACATATAAATTGTCGAATTTAAAATTTCACGTATAGAAATGTAATATGTTAAATGAATAATGATTAGAATTATTGAAAAATGTTGTTGATTATTTGTTCAAAACAAAAGTCACCATTTTTCAACACTTCCTCTGTTCGAATCTCGTTTGAGAAAACTCTTGAAATATCCTAGCTCCAAGGTAATGAATTACCCTAAAATAGAACGTTCTTTCTTAGAAATCTTATCGATCTTCCGCGTCCTCGACGCCTTCTTAACGACGCCTACTTCGATGTTCAGTAGATGGAAGATCCTTCGTAAAAGAGTAAAGATCTTGTTATTAAATTCATCCTCATCAATTAATTATA